AAATTAAAAACATACTGGATAGGCCTAGCAATTTTTTATCGACAATTTATTTTCATGAAGTATTTTGTTCGTGGAAAATTCTATTAATAAAATGACTTGTTTCTGTTTACTTATTGATATTGTTTGCATTTAAATTAAATTGAAGGTTGAGTAAATGAAATTTAAAATGTGGTTCACAGTATAAACATGGAGGTATTATTGAGAAGGAGATCACTCAGCAACAGATCCCTTTGACGCGACAAACCAATGTGTTCCCCTGCCTTTGGATCGCGCGCGGGCGTATTACCCTATAATTCACATTTTTTCGTTAGCAACAACATGCATTTATACGCTTCAGCAGAGCAGTTGTGAAATAAAGCGTTTGATTTTAACCCATTAAATATCTTATAATGAACAATGTTCCCCAGATTGGATTTTTTTGGACTTTTAGTATGTTATTATTTGTATATTTCAGAAACAGATTCCGTAAAATATTTATGTTAAATTTACTTCTGTGTTCATTATATTTTGTCTAAAGATTGATTGACTGGTTCGACTATAAAGCTAAGGCAGCGTAAAACTGAAAATTACTCTGATTTTGGATTGATTTTTTGAATAGTTAACCCTCGTTAACCCTAAAATGACTTACTTTATTATAATCCTCAATCATTTATTAATTAATATCTGTTAAAATTAGAATTAGCGAATTCTGTCCAGTTTATGAAAATTGAAGTTGAAATATACTATACTTTTAAAGGTCATGTATGTTCCATTAAATTCAAAACTTTTTTTGGTGGAAAATATTAATAATTATGTTTGACATTTTATGAGAGATAAATGTATCACTATCAGCTTCAAAATGGAAACGATTGTGCAGCCATAGTGATTGTCTGTATGTAGTGCGCATCGAGAAAAGAAGGTGCTCTTCATTTCGCCATGTTCAATTTTTTGGTAAACTATGCCTGCTGAAAATTTGATGGCGGGGAACACATCAGACTTCAAAGGCATTGCGAAAATGTTCTTCACGCGCCGCGGCAGCTTTGATCTTTGTTCAATTGCATAACGCTGCGTGCGCGTAGCTCTTTCGAGTGATCTCCTTCTCAATAATACCTCCATGGTATAAATATGTACCAAAAATGGCAACACTTACATCCACCCTTTAGAATTTTGTGCACCACCATAGAGAAAAAGCACCAATTTTTGTTTCCTATTAACAATAGGAACCTTTGCATTCAGCAGAGTATTTTTTTTTTATGTTAGTGTGCCTGCGTGTGTGTTACGTTGACTTTGTAAGTTTTGCGCATTACCATACGTTGACTTTGTAATTTTGCGCACCACCATAGAGAAAAAGCACCAATTTTTGTTTCCTACAGTATTAACAATAGGAACCTTTGCATTCAGCAGAGTATTTTTTTTATGTTAGTGCGCCTGCGTGTGGTTACGTTGACTTTGTAAGCACTATCTAGGGACTGTCCTGGATATTATCTGACATGGAAGCCTAGCCAAAATGGTAGTAGGCAGAAAAATTTATCTACACTACAAGAACTTTAATTAGATACTGTATTCGTCAAAACTATGCTGAGAATTAATTACAGAACAAACTGGGTTCTACGGGAATGATTGGTTTACATGTACAGTAATTTGTTGTTTACAAGCAAGTTTTTGCAAAGTACAGTACCATAAATGCTGCAATAAGAGCTGCTCTTGAATAACCACTGCACCAAACAGAATTTTGTATATTATTGCCCTGTGTGTAATGAAAATTTTAGAACATGGTTTTAAATACAAGGTATACAGCCCTGGTTCTTAATTAATTTGTTCAAAGGGCCAAATTATTTTTGGAGCTGATGTCACGGGCCAAACATAATCCCATAATTTGGGAGAAACTTGTGTTTTGAAAATGTTTTCAATGAACTTTTATTATGTTTTAAATATTTTTTTTTATTATTTTGTTTTTAAATATTGTTTGAAGGTTTGCATGGCAAAGTAATTATACATATTGATACTTGTGGTACACCACATACATAGTTCTGATATATTACTGACCAATAACAACAGTTCTTTTCAGAACTATCTATGTGGTATACCGCAAGCATTAATATATATGTGACCCAAGCTCACAAACGGGCTGTAAACTCGCACTGAACTGTATTGAGAAACAAGCCTCAATACCCAGAATAGTGAATTTTGTGTGAATTGGGTTTTTGTGTAAAATAAAGTATAACTATTAATCTTACTATTTCTGAAGTTTGAGTTTAAAATTCCAACTGTAAGAGGTAAAATTTAGCTTTTTTTCGGATGGGAGCTAATGAAGATGAATAGAAACCTGCCGAAAATAAAAGCATTTTTCTCAAAACTTGATTTAAGAAAGTTGACAAGATGACAATTATTCAAACAGTCATAACTTTGCTTCCAGACACTCGATTGAGTTCATTTAACTGTCATTTTAAAGTAAATGATATGTTCTATGCCATTATAACAAAAACTCTTTTTGGCCGAGTTTACAGCCCGTTTGTGAGCTTGGGTCACATATTTTGTTTTCCTCACAGGCCAAATTAAATGGCCTTGTAACCAGGGGTATACAGTATTAAAATAAATAAATAGCACAGTGAAGACACAAGTATTCCTTTATAAACGTTTCTTTACGATAATGTTGGAGCTATGATAGGCCTACTGACCTATGTGACATAGGTAACATGGGAACGAGCATGGAAAGCGCGATGCCAATATTTATTTTATAAGTGCTGCTCTTGAATAAGCGCCGCACTGAAGCCTAAAAAATTTTTATAAGTGCCACAGGGTTTTTCGAGCATTTACGGTCATATAAATCCTACCGTTTGAGTCGTTTAAGCCTAAAACGACACAAACTAAGAACACGAACATAAATTTGTACAATTTAACAACATGTATTGAGATTTTTATTAAATTTTTTTTTATACGTAAATATTGCACTTTCTCCATTTTTAAAATTTTCGCATCGAAAAATATTTTGTTATTCGGATGTTCAACGATTAAAAATAAAATTAATTTACTCAGTTTTTTCTATTGATGCTTAACTTTGTCATTAATGGAAATAAACTGCTTGAAATAGGCAACATAATACTAAGTTGCCAGTACTTCTAGTTGCATGATAACAGTCAATCAGTAATAAAACGTTCCCACAATACTATTGGGAGAAGCACATACAAGGTGGATTGGCAACCAAATAATGTTTTGGATAGGCAAATTATTTTTTCTCTTTTTGATCCGACAACCAAATCGCTGGCACCACAACTGCAAAGGTGGAGGGGGGAGAGAGAACTTCACAAGGATGGGGGGTGATAATAGACTCCATTGTGGCAAAATTTTTCTTTTCTTTTTGATCCAACAACCTTGTGGCATCGGACGCTATGGTATCCCACTGACGCCATTCTGGTCGGAACCCCCTCTCCAGCAACTAAACTTGTAAAATATTGAAACACATTTAAAACAATACAAATCAAAATAACATTATGGATAGGTAAATTTTTTTTTTTATCTTGACAACCTCAGAAGACTGAGCTGTCAGAAGACTGGGGAAGCTGGCGCCACCACTGTTGGGGTGCGGAAACTCCGGGTGATAAAACCGTTGTGACCAAATAATTTTTTTTCTATTTGATCTGACGACCTTGCGGCATCGGACGCCAGGTGAGTGTACCCAATGGAACCACCAGTGCTCGGGAGTGAGGACTATAAGCATTCACAATGCATTATTTTACTGCGCTATGATATTAGGATACACACTGCTATATGGCTATGGGCCCCTCCATCTCCCTGGTTTCATCAGTTTTCATACAGTATTTACCCATGACCTGTATCCCATAAGGGATAATTTACTGTTCCAGGATGCTAGGCCAGTATACGGTATGGGATGATTTCTCCTGTTTTAGTAATGCTGCCCTCTGTTGCTGACTCTTTTAGGGGATCGTATGGAGGAAAAATCGACAATTTTTTTTCTGTCAGTGAGTGATGTATGGTACTTGAATAGACAAGGATACCGGGATGAGAATATCGATTACATAAATATTGACTACATAATAAATAAAGATTTTCACTAAAAACTTCTAGCAGCGCAACCAGTAATGCTAGGCCTACTGTAGGTCTGAAAATGTTCATGTTGGGTTTGGACATGTACATGGACCCCCCTCTCATACTTCAATACCCTATCCCCATCTTCCCCCATTATTATTGTTATTATTATTATTATTATATTATTATTATTCTATCAATTTACTAGTTTTAGTGAGACATATCCTATGTCCAGTAGTCTACCTAGTTAGATGTAGGCCTAGATCTAGGTTTACTTGCCCTCTATGGAGAGAGAGGGGGGCCCTCTATGGGGAGGGGGGGGTGATAGAGGTCGTTCCTCAAATTGGGGCCTCAATGACCTTTAACATAATTGGGTGTAACTTTTGCAATTATTTGAAAAAATTATGCACCAAAATCCAAAATTTGGATTGGCAGACTGTGACAGCATAATAATTTGAATTCAGCATACTCAATTAGTTTAATAAAGTATCTGTCAACATTTTTATTAACTCAAAAATGTTCTACTGTAGTGTAGGTGCTGGGAAATCTGACTTTTCTACTAATTCAATTTAATCGCCACAACCTATTACAATATGAACACACCAAAAAAACAGACAAAAAGGAGGCAGGCTTCCCAAAAAGAGATTCAAATCTCTATCAAGTGGGTCGTCAAAAACAATAAATATAAAGACACAAGATAAAAATTTCATATAAAAATACAAAACTTTTTTCAATAATAAAAATAAAAATAAAAAGGATAAAATACTCTATAAAACAAAAAAAATTTTTCAAATTTCACAATAAAAAAAAAAAAAGTTATTGCCAAAATCTTCCAGCCTTACGTCTCTCGACAATAACATTTGTCATTTTCAAATGGGTTTTTCCTGTAATTGTTATTTACGACTTGCCCTGTAAGTCCAAAGTGCAAATAAAAATAGTTCCTATGAGACAGATTAAACAGACTGGCACAAAGGAGTGCACTGATAAACAGCTCTGCATCAACAAACCACTATTTTCCAACTGACTGTGAAAGAATCTCCAGGGTAAGACTAAAGGTACGTAACAGCTACACAGCTATTTTGAATTTTTGGCTTTACTGTAGATTATAGATGACTAAAAACAATGCTAATAATTTCATAGTGATACAACTACATAATTAGCCAAAAAAAAAAAAAAAAAAACTTGCTGTGTTGGTCAAGCAATCTTATTCTTTATTCTATTTATGAACAAAGACCAAGGGTACAAAGGGAGTTTTATGTTATACCTCCATGACTCTAGCTAACTACTTTTTTTATACTTAACAGACAGCAAAGATGAGATATCTGCTCACAATAACATCAATCAAGGAATACGGTGGCATGAGGTGTCCAGTGAAGTGGCTGGTGATGTACATGCTCATCACCATAGATACTACGCAAGTACTCTCCTACCGAGGACAGTTAAACATTTGCGGTTTGCAAGACGGTTGTCGGTTAGACCAACAAACTGGAATCCTCAACTGTAAGGATCTTGACATGCGAGATATTCCGAGACAAGCCTGCCCTGAAATAAAACATCTGGATATGCGTTATAATCACCTGGAAAGGTTTTCAACACGAATTAATGATTACTACCCAAACCTGGGAACGCTTGATTTTGGGGCAGCTAAGATTACCTCAATCTCACTTAAAGTCTTTGAAAATTGTAGCACACTAATTAAGATCTTTATGGATAGCAATGCCATTACAAATATTAAAAAATATACCTTTGAAGGCTTGACATCACTTAAATACCTGTACCTCTCTGGAAATAAACTTACAAGGATTCAGCGAAATATCTTTGACCCACTGAATAAAACATTGCTCTACCTGGACCACTCCCACAATAAAGTGCACAAAATCCAAGAAAAGGCCTTCCAGGAGCTGTCAAGACTTGAGCGTCTCTTTCTTCAGAACAATCAGCTGACCACAATAAACTCTGGGATGTTGAAAGGCTTGAAATCTTTGACCCATCTCTATCTGTCAAACAATAATATTACTTATGTGCCACATGCTACATTCAAGGAAATGCCACTCCTGCAGGAACTGAAGCTCGGCAACAACCCAGGATTAATATCCATTCATTCTGGAGCTTTAAATCACCTTGCACAGTTAAGGTTCTTGGATCTCATGCGGACAAATATCTCAACCCTAAAGAATGTCTCGCATCTGTTTTCACACAATTCACAATTAACAAACTTTCACATTGCAGATACACCTTTGGTCTGTGATGAAAGTTTTGAATTATGGGAGAACTGGTATAAAGGTGCCAAGTCCCATCCACGAAATACTGCTACATGCTCTGAAGTTCCATCAGAACCAATGACAACAATCACAAGGAGGCTGTCTTCAGAAGGAACACCCTACTCCAATTTCTTGAAAGAGCCAAATGATGCAAGACAAAATCGAATGCAAGTTTTAATTATCACTGCCATGGCTCTATTGTCTTTGAGCCTCAATACCTGACATTTATAATAAATCAGACTGAAAATTTGAAGTATAAAATATATTTAAAGTATAAAGTATATTTTTTTTAATGATAAATTTTTATATTGAATATGCATTTGCCTGTACAGATTTTTTTTAAATAAATAATTGAATAAATAATAATAATAATATTAACAATTATTATACTAAGAGCGGGCATAAATCCATATTGTAATACGTAACAAATCAATAAATAATAGTCAATAAATAATAAAAATCTTACGTCCATATATATTTGTATATAAATATATTTAAACCTTCAGGCCCTAGATATCTAAAGTTATTAGATTATGCAGTAAAGACCAATATAATATAATAATGTATGCTGTATGCTAAAAATGGCAGATACCTACCTTTATGTAAGGCAATTCAACAAAAGGACGCACATCTCGCGACATCAAAGGTTATAACTCTGGCATCGACATTCTACGCGCACCACACGCCTCTACACGTTGATCTTCACAAAAACCATAGCAATCAAACCATAATTAACCGTCAGAGTGTGACAAATTACTATACATGCGTGTCAGTTGTCATGATAATTGTGCGTCGTGCGGTGGTTACAAAGGCCTAATGAATTTGCATTAGCATTAGACTGAATTTATTTCAACTCAAATTTTAATGATGAGGTGGTGTCCGGTGGTTCATGAGACTCACTTTGCAGAAAAAAACAAGTAAATTTTCTGTATGTACTCAAATGTTCGTTTTGTGCACCTTAGTCCAACACTGTCAAAATGACAATTTAATGTTATATAAGAACATGAATTTTTATAAAAATCGTAACTTTTTATTTGCTATAACTTTTCATTTTGTTGGTAAATTTTCACGAATCAAACTGTAGTTTATAGGAGCACTTCATAAGATCATGGTAAAAAGAAATCAGATGTAACAGACATTGCGATGTACCCAAAAATAATAAAATAGTAACTAACACCATAAAACGTATGGCATGCATAGCCTAATAACTGACAGCTGTACCTGCAACTACTATCGGGTTGTCGATGCCGCAGTAAAGATCAAAGGACCGTACGCACGCACTATGAGAGAGGACATGTGCATCCTTTTGTTGAATTGCCTTGCTTTATAAGGTCTGTCTGAGTCTACATTTGGCGCAATACAAATCACATTAGGGCCGAGGCCAAAAAACACAGCTAAGATTAGGTGTTGTTGTTGATTTGAGCCTGTATAGTTTTTCAATACATTCAAATAATTTTTCTGATTGTTAAGATTGTGCAGTACTTAAAGGAAACCTACAAAATATATGGAATACCATGATTTTGTTGGGTACAATTATTTAATAAAGCATACAGTATTCAGATTGTAACCTGTTGTGTGGTATTTTGAATAAACTTTAACCTATATATCTGTTTGGCTGCAATTGTTAAAAAACTGAATGTTTACCAGATTTTGCTGTATTGGTGGCCCCAATTCCGGGAAAATTTCATTAAAAAAAAATTTTTTTCAGAAAAAATGCATATGCATTACTCTAATTATTATAAACCATGGAAAAATATTGGCATAAATTTTAGTTTTATGCAAAAAGATTAAAAAAATGAGAAATATATTATTACCATTGCTAATCTTTTGCCAATATTCTCATGGAATCGTTTTCATGTTGATCTAAAAGTTTGAATTGGCTCTTTGCTCGATTGACAGACAGATACATCATTCCCCTATTCTTCACCTTAATATGCACCTGGAAGAATCTGTACACAGTTGCTAGGTCTACATTGGATCTTTCTTCTAAGCCCCGCCCTTTGAATATTGCTGCTAAGATCCCACTGAACGACAGAACTGTATAAACAAACAAACTTTAGTATTCCTTTGGATTGCTCTGTTAAGTTTGATTGCCATTATGCTCCAATGCATTTTCTGAGTGGTTGACAATATTTGATCAAAAGTTTGCTATCTGTATTTCCTAAAAATATTAAACTTCGTTCTAGCTAGAACAAACAGATTATGATAATGTTAGTGATTACAGCCATTTGGTCAGCTAATAGTTTAATAATGAAAAGGAAATATCAGTGTTGCTTTGAAGTATTATAATTCTCTTAATAATTCAAAGAATGTTCTGATTACAGAGTACTGAAATTTGAAGGTTTACCTAGTTACGAAGCAATCATTAAATAAACAAATTTTGAGAAAGTAAAATAAATATAGCATTGCTGTTTTCTAACTAGTCAGCAGATTGTTGGATAATTTCCAGAAATATGAATGACAGAATACTTCGCAATACAATCAATAGTGTTTTCAAAGTTAAACAAGGTTTCAATGCAAACACTGTTTTACTTATGCAATAATGGAATACAATGACAATAGATTTGAATCTCTTCTAGCAGATAAATATCTCCTACCAGTTGCGTGTGGCCACTCTGAAGTGTAAGGATTCACTTTTTGCTATTTTCAATGAACAGTAAGGACTAGCTCTGGCTCTGGGTCTATAAAATCAGTTATAATGTTCCAATTAAAACAATTTATTACTACAATAGGGTATCAGGCATAAATATAAACTCAAATTGAAGGCTAAATATCTACTGCATTGGTCTACGTAAATTTGAAAGCAATTTCTTTATATGTGACGTATTCCCACAAAAAGTGACAAAAAAATATAAAAACATGTGTATTTTAATAATTTACATTCTATAATTAATTAGCTTTACAATAGCAAGTAACTTTGGATTCATTAGTTTTCTCTATTTAATAATGAGCAATTGAAGTATCACAATTAGCACAACTGAGAAATGTAGGCTCTCAGTCGGAGCATGTGGCTACAGTACTGCTTGATATATTTTTTTTTTGGTACTTTCTATGTGGAGACTCGATTATTGTAAAATTTCTGATTGAAATTCTTGGCCAGCATTATTAGGCATAAGCATAAATTAGCTTTGAAAAATAACACATCCATCCATGGTTTTTACTGTTGACGATTGTCATGTAAAAGATTGTTGACAGATCTTGCCTAGGCATAGCGTCATATTTCGTAGGCTTACATTTAGGAGACTGTAACCTACACCTATTTTTACTGAAATTCCTTTCTTTGATTTTTTATTTTTTTTTATTTTTGAACTCACAAACTGGATTTACTCAAACAACTTACAAGTGAGACGATAATTCCCAGCAGGGGTGGCACCATAATTTGCCCAATGGGGGTGGGGGAGGGGTGGTCTGAGTTCCCCTGGCACCACCCAATTCCGTGTGGCGTAGACATAACGTTGACATAAAACCGCTTTGAACTTCAGTGTGCATACAGACAGACTCTGAGCAGAAATTAAAATCAGCTCAAAAAGCACACCAAAAATAAGTCTTTATCAAAATATCAATAAATATTATAAATTACATTAAGACACCTACCTAAGAATGTCTCCTTGATTCAGATTCAGTAGAACATTGTAGCCTCGAAATTCTGCTTCGTTCGGACAAATGGTCCCTTCTTCATCTAAATCCGCATAAAACTGCTTCAAGCTCTGAAGGCATTTTGTCAGGTTTTCATTGTTTATCTTCGGATCGAAAACCCTAGTCCCAGCCTCACACAGACGCTGTGCACAGTAGATATGAAACCTAGAAAAAAAATCGTAAAATATTATTAGACAAGAAATTCATTCAAATCAACATTAAATTTATATAAACATCATCATCCAAGCAAAAAAACAAATACTGATGCTGCCTAAGTCTACCTGAACTGAGTAAAAACAGGCTCTTGTCTCAAAAAAATGAAAATCACATTATCAGATCTTTGTAATTTAGATGTTAAAAGCTAATAATTGATGCAAAAATTGTTTAAAATGTATAACAAATGGCGAAGATATGATAATTTATATTTTCAGTCCACCACACATAAGATGGTCAATACTGTAATTTTAGCTGATTTGAAGATTCGTTTTTAACGACAAGTGCCTGGTTTTGCCAGAGTCGGTCACATATGTTTTAAAAGGCCACTCCCAAGCTTCAATTTATCAATTAAAAACCTTGACCATGGACCAAGATGGTCACCATTTTACCAACCACATGTATGGTGTAAAAGTGATGGACTATGACCTCTTATTTTCTTTCATTGACATTGTAAATCCAATGTACCAAACTTCTATCATTATGCTCCCATCCCTATGAAGTCATCCTCCTTTGTTCTTATTGATTCATTTTTACAAGAATTTTCCCCAAAAATGATAAAGGCCACTTACGCTAATAGGCTATCAAACAGGAAAAACACAGTGTAACAGACAAAAAATGTTATGTTCATTTTAAAGGAAGTAGGAATTAATGATTTAAGAAAGTATTCAACAAGGAATAGGTTATATTAGAACAAGGAAAAAGTGTCTAGGACTTAATATTGTTGTGGGAGGAGAGCCAAGTTTCAAACTCAAATGCCACTTAGAAAGAACCAAGTTTATTTATAGAGTATGTATATTGATGTGGTAGTTATCACCCACCTCATATGCATACAATGAGGCACTAAGTAAACTGAGTAACATTCAGTTCAGTTTATTCAGAAATTCACATATTACATTTAAACAAAATATACACCAATTGGATATAACATAACGATGGACCTGTACACGATGTATTATGTGTGGTGACTCCATTAAGCCAAGATAGGCTTTAGGACTGAGCCACCAGAAAACAATCAATAAATGAAAACAAAAGTTAAGGTTGGGGTACTGTATTTTGATTCTCCTGACAAGATAAGTTTTGAGTTATTCATTATTTATTACCTCCGCCAACAAAGTTTGCAGGAGGTTACGTTTTTGCCTGTTTTTAGTTATTTTATTTTTCTGCCGGTGTGTGTGTGTGTGCTGATACAGTCTTGCGGGTAAAGTGTAAACAAACATATGACCATTAATTTCAGAGTGATGTATGTGAAAACAATTTGGTGCATTGGTTAGAAGAGTGTTTTCCACACAACCAGCCCCGATTTCAAATCCCAAGTAGTCTACTTGGTTTTTTTTTTGGTTTTTTTTCATTATTTCTTTTTATGGGGGCAATATGCAGGGGAAATTTATACTGAGGAAAATTATGATGTGGACGGAGGTATGAACTGGTATGCACTCTTCAAGTGCCCTCTACTTCATTATATTTTTATTGTTCATTTATTTTGTAATCCTCTCAAAATATATTAAAAGGCATCCCTGAGTACAACATGTATTGTTGAAATTTTCTCCAAAATATTTATAAATGTACTACTTGTGAGAAAAAATAAATTAAATAATATTTTTTCATGAGAGCAGGATGTAAAAGGTAGGTAAAGGAAGAGAAATTGGACATATAGACACCATATCAAGGCTATTAAAAATGTCTAAAAAGTAACTATTTTTAGAGTGTACATTAAAACACTAACATGCATGAAAAAATGTTATGGATACCAAATTCATAGATTCATAAGAAATGTATGCAATTCAATATTAGAATATTCTGCTCACCGTGCACACTTCTCAACTAAATCAACTGCGGTGAGGTCGCAGAGATGCTGCTGCGTGATGTCCTTCCTTATTCCACGAGTCCTATTCCAAACAAAGTCAAACCAGTCCGCCCAACGCCCCTCCCCCTTATCCATGATCGCAATCATCAAATAATTCATTGTCATATTGAGAACTGCAGGAGGGCGAAGTTCATGGGGCAGTGGTGCTTCCTGTAAATGTAATGTTACAGTATAATGAAAATATATTAGTTTTTGAGAACAAATTATTATCCCATCCAAATTTCAAACTAGGACTCTCTCATTGATTACCTTTTGACAGCTCTACCAACTCAGATAAAAGAACAAGCTGGTAGGGGTCCCTAGTTTCCTGCAAGTTGGAGGAGTATCGCGGAAATCGGGATTGGCTCCTGTGAGCAAGAAAGAATCTCCCGGAAAACAACCCATCCCCTACAAAAGTTTTTACTAATTCTATAATCAATTTTCTCCCTGAAGTCAGTGCCAGTGGGTATCACCATGCAAAGAAAAACATAATTTGATGTGTTTAAGAAAACTCATCTAAACAATTCCAACTTGGAACCCCCTTGTAGCCATGAGCTGGTATTCTCCTTTGGAGTTTCTAATCAGTGTATTTTTTTTTGTTTTTGTTTTTCTATGTATTGCATAAGCAGTTTGGCACAACGGAACGGTTTGCTTCCCGACCTTGAGGTCGGATTTTATCCCTTGCTGTGCATTTTTCTTGTCCTTGAGCAGGCACTTTATCTACGTTGCTACTCTCCACCCAAAGATAGTATAAAACATACTCTAAGTATGGAAATGCACGCCATCATGTCGGGATTCAATATTTCAAGATTAATTATGTCATCATCAGGAATGATGCTCTCCACCCAGGAGTAAAAATGGGTACCTGGTGGGGATGCCTGCTACTGTGCCAATATGGTAGCAACACTCAAGTATGTGGACTCAATGACCAGGGAAATACTTATAGCTGCTTCTATCTGTAAAGCAAGGCATTATATAAATATTAGATAATACACAATAAACTGATAAACCATTCAACATGATCATAAACCTTTCTTAAATGTTCATTATTGTATCTTTACAGTACAGAGAGCAGGTGGTACACTCTTCAGGGGGTCTATGCTTCCAATTTCAATTCATGCTATAAACTTTACTTATGTCCTTGGGAAATGCACTCTATGAACTCTCTCTCTCTCACACCCAGGGGTATTCACCTCAATTTATTCCAGGTAAGCAAACACATCTATACATGCAAGTACAATAACAAACAAAATGAACTAATGCTGGTCCAGGAGACTCCTAACAGCGTACAGTATTAATAATTTTCCAAGGGATGTCCCAACGGCTGAGAAACTTGGCCAACAATGTGTCAGCCAATAGAGTGTGGGCTGGTCTTATTTATTGGTACCTGATAGGTTCAAGATCCAAGATCTCTTTATCACCATTATATTTTCTTACATGATATTTGCACTCATGGTACTAACAGGGTTCGAATTTCAAAAAAAAAAAAAATGCTCCATCAGCCAACAGTTGCTGTGGGCTGGCTTTAATACTGCAATTTATTATTCTTCTACAGCAACAAGCTTTATAAATTATTATAAGAATAGGCCTATTCTATAAATGTAAGTGTATATACCATTGCTAGGTCAGGTGAATCAACAGCAAAAAGCTTGCTGTCGAACCTGAAATGTAAAACAGCAGTAGAAGGCTCTTTCTACAGCAATTTTTCTTGGTGCTGTAGGGGAAATTTGAACCCTGTATTAATAATACATATGATATAAAACATAGACTTTATGAAAGAACATCTTAATCTAAAGACCTGTCTAGACTATCAGATTTTGTTTGACAATAACATGTGACATGTGTAAATATGGTCATTATGACATCACAGCATGACCATATATAGGCACAGCATGACCATATATATGCACATCATGACTATATATGGGCATGCATCAGTTTTTCGTCAAAGAAAATTGACAGTCTGGACATAATTTGATAGTAATTGAATACACATATTTCATTTACTGTTTCAAAAATAAAAACTAAAATAATTCTAGTGTTAATTCAATTTTATTCATTTTGGCAATGTTTTAACAACCAAAATTTAAAAACTAAATTGAAAACAAACAATAAAAAAATAAAAATTGAACAAAGATTCTAAACTAATTCTTACTTATTTCCAATTCCATTTACAATATAAAAAATAGTTCATGCATGATTAAAAAAACAAATTATTTTAACTAAAAAATACACTACAATTTATACTGTATCCACGCTTCACAAACTATTGGTCGCGACCCAAAAGTGGGTTATCAAATTTTTGCATTGTGTCGCGAGCAGGTTTGAAAGCATTTTAATAACCAAGTATTCAGTGCTATTTTACACATTTGATGTAAAATGAACAAATGAACGACTGAATACAGTATTTTAGGTGAACCTTCATTAGAACAATATTTTATTATATGCACACAATGATACCTTATACCTTACAACAACACAATTTTGTAAATCTAAACATTCCACTGTTCCACAGGGTAATTTATCAAACTTAAAGACTGACAATATTTCCTGCATAATAAAAGCCGATACTATATTTTTTTGAGATTTCATGCCAGTCAGGCTTGGCACACATAAAGTTTTTTTTTTACTTAAGTGCGTTGTATTTTGTTCTAAGTATCAAATACTGAAAGTCTCATTTTCAATAATCAATGGCAGATTCAAGGGGGTGGGGAAACCAGCCCGGGTCCCCATAATTTTTTCAAAATAAACAAGTAATTGGGAAAAAAAGAGAGAAAATTTTATTCAAATTTAAGTCTGAAAGTGCCATTTTTAGCCATAAAGGTGCCATAATCATAAAATTTCTTTCCTCAGTCCCAACGATGGTGAGGCTAAGGTGGGTAGACCCTCTTTCTGTAAAAGTTCCTCTCTGGGCCCCTCCATTTTGAGTTCCTGGATCGTCATTATTAATAGCAAGCAAAAATCATTGAAATACCAAAATCAAGTAGTCATTCATACTTAAAACATGAGCATCAAATTTTGGGGATCTTATAAAAGTTGCTGTGCAATTTACATGAGTGGGTCATGGCTAGTGTGGGAAATCCCAACTTGGATCCCGAGAAAAAACTTTGGAAAGTGGAGTAGTTTATTATTCATTCATTTCAATTTTATTAACAGATTAAAAAATAAATTTTGAAATACATAAGTTTCTGCCTGATTATTGGCCAAATGATTTGTGTGAATGACAGTAAGGTGAAACTAGCTGCAATATGAATCATCCTTCAGAAATCTCAGCATGTGTTTCACTGTTGATTGTAATAGGCTTTTTATTTCCTCATTTCATTTTTATGTAATGGTTCCTACCAGTTTCTATTAGAATTTAAGGAGGAACATGCTTGGCCATTAATCAGAACACTGCTATAAACAGGAATTTCCTACATTTTAATTTCATTTCATGTATTCGTCTCATAAGTAACAAAAATAAAGACAGGTAAAATCACAGAAAAAAAGAGATTCAAGATCTCTGTTGAGCGGGTTGCCACACAATTATCAATAGAATAAACATAAACATTAATATTTCATACCATATAAATATACTACATATTAATTATTGTAATAATAATAATAATAATAATAATTATTATTGATAAAACAATATGCACTGAATTGAAAACACATTGGGCGAGACTTTTTATACCTTATTTAGCGAACCTGCCGTCAACTAATAAATGATGATTTCAAATAAAAATGCAAGTTTATTTTTGGCCAAATAGTGCACCCATTGCTACAAAAAATGGAAATTTCAGGAAAAAATAAGTTTTCCTTTATTTTTAATTTGCCCGCAGATGCTTTGAAATCCCCAAAAGTAAAATATGTATATTTCTTCTTAATTATATAAATTAAAGCATTTAATGATTCCATTATTAAATTGTTTACATTCACCAATAGAATTTTATTTTTATTTTCTCCTCTGTCACAATGTTCTTGGCAAAACTATTTGCTAGATAAGAAAACCTTCCTTTGACAATCTTTAAAAAAATAAGTTTGTTAAAAAAAGGTATAAAAAAATTCTTGCCTTAAACCTGTTTTCCACTAGGCAAATTTATTCATGCGAATTGAAAGCGTAGGCTTATGCACATGCACATCTATATCAGAGTTTTTGTGAAGCGAAAAAAATGCACAACAAAATATTTTGCTTTTCTGGCTAAACCCCTGTACTGAAATTACCATCACTATTAACAACCAACAATGTTATGCTTTGACCCTTGACAAGTTTACTGTCTAAGCCAACGGTATTCCTATATGATTGATTTGTGGACTTATTGACATTAAAGAATGTTAAAATCTATAATAAGGATTAAATAGACTCACCTGGTCAGCTGATGACCTACTATACTCCTTTACTGCTATAGCATGATCTATTTGTGGATTCTGTAAGAAAAATTTAACTCTAGAGTTTATCAAGCAATATCACTGACATGGCCATATAAATAATACTAATAATAATTTAGCATTATTGATATGATTTGGTTTGGTAGGAGGGAGGGCAGTAAGATTATGAGGCAAAACAAACAGAAGATATGCTTCCCAAGGAAAGTGACAACTAAAAATCAGATTTAACCTATCAATAATAATCGATGATGATGATGATGATGACGATGTTTTACCCATAAACCAATGGTTGACTTCCTTTGTAAGCTGTTTAAAAGATTTTATAAGGACATCTCATATCTGTCCGGATAGACTATATTTTTCAAATTTCCGGACAGACTATATTTTTCAAATTCTATATTTTGTTTATGACTGCCTTTAGGTTTTGTTATATTTTGAATTCTTGAGGGGAACTCTAGACAACCCTGCCTGTTATTTTTATATATTTTTTCATTTGGAGTTTGATGATTGTAATTTCGATTGAAAATAAAATATGAAGGTACCTTGTCAGTCCCCGGAATCATTTCAAATATATGGACCCTTCTCTGGACCTCTCTCATGTAACGCTCTTTCTCTGGACACATGTCAGGACAGGAGCCTCTGACAGTACTAGCACTTGACAGGTTCTCTTGCTTCTTATTCCCTAAAGCTAAAAGAAAATTTTGATAATAATCATTATTATAATTATCATCGCCATCACCACAAAAAAAAAAATTACAATTAATTATCATCCCAATCATCTCTTCATCACCACCACCATTATCAGGATAAAAAACATGTTGATATTACTATAATTAGATGATCATCACAATTACCATCACCATCACAAGAGAACATCATGACAATCACCAAAATTGAAAACACTACAGTTATCAGGCTACAAAATGTTGACTATCATCATTATTATAATTATCATTATTATCACCACCATCATCATTCACAACAAAAATTACCATCACCATCACAGTAATCACAAAAATCACAGACACCAGCATCATTATCAAGCTAAAAAATGTTGACCATCACCAATATTAAAATCATCACCATTATCATCATCATTATCACCTTAATCATCCCCACCACAATCAGAGTTGAACCATTACATTATAATTGGTGGCCCAAAGCCTTACTTACACTCCACACACTTTCACAATCAACAACATTATCTACATCATATCATAATCACAATCAGCATCGAATCATAAAAAATAGTCATCAAATTAACTTTATTCTGTAACATTATTTCATATCATCTATGTGGTAAAATTTTGCCTTCAAAAGCATGGCTCCACTATTTGGGACCCCTCTGGATATATATCTTGTGTTATTTAGGAGGCTTTAGAGAGTTATACAAGATATAAACCTTTTGCCCCTTGTGCCTTTTGGTTTTGTATTTGTTCAAAATTTAGAAGACAGGAAACCAATAACAATACAATAATAATAACCAGGGGTTTATTTAAGAATTTGAGTAGCAGGAGAAATTTGAAAGTAACAGGAGAGTAAATTGAAATAGGCCGGGGGTATAGGGGGCCGCCTAGGCCTCCATCGCGGTCCAGGGGCAGAGCCCTGGTCGGGGGTCAAGGGGCGGAAGCGCCATTGCGCTCCAGGGTTTTAGAGTTTTTTAAGCCCATTTGATGGCATTTCTCTACATCATTTTTTTTTTTAACAGTTTTTCAGAATCAATTACTGAGCTCTAAAAAAGTTGATATTTTTACATATTCTTCATACATAGGCCTA